GCCACCATCCCCCCAGACTAGGAGTGGTGTCATTCTTCCACCCGCAACTGATAAGAACAGATACTACACTTGATCTTAGCCAAAAGGCCGAGAAGCTCTACACAATTTTATTTGACGTTTTTGACGTTGAGTGGGAATGTGTTGGAACCACTGTCAGGTTTTGTATTGCAGTCTGTGTCCATACCGTGGAGATTCAGCCTCTCTATTTGTCCAGGTGGTCATTCTGGGGCAGAAAGTGAGGGAAAATCCAAAATGTTACAGCTGTCACCTGAAACAGGAGGTGAAGGGAAACCTTCCTATGGGGACACTGGTTCTGGTGACAACTGTCTAAAACTGACTATACACCAGTAGAATGTTGTTGAAAAATTTGTATTTTCAGAATGTTTGTTCCATCCTCTAATGGTTAGTGAGGTCTCATCGACATTCGAGGAGAATCAAAGGGGAGTGTTTGCGAGTCATTACACGCTGCCTGGCTTCCTTAATTGGACTTCGGTATCGTTATCGGAGTCGTCGAGTACCGAGAAAAAAAATATCGGTACTCGTTACCAAAAAAACGGTATCGGTGCATCCCTAGTGTTCTTCACACAGGGAATAATTGTACATACTGCGATGCGTATGTATCGGCCTCAAAAGAAACCTGTTTAATACGTCTGAGATTCCATACAAGTAGCCGCACTGTATGAAACATTTTAAGGGCTTTTTTTTCTAACGAAATTAGGTGAATGAATTCTCTGATGAATGATTTTGAATGAACATTTGAAAGAAAATCTAACAAATGTATGGCCAGCTAAGGTGAAATTGCTCTTCCTTTGGATATGCAAGATACCCACAGTGCGTCACAGTGTGAAACAGCCCTGAGGGCTTGTTCACACCATCTCTAGACAAGATCTGGACGTGTTTCTGGAAACGTGGGTATGTGCATTTTTTGTGCATGTTTTTTTTTTTTGTCTCAAGTTGGACTTTCTAGTGTGTTCCAGTGCATTTACGTGTTTGCATGCGTTTGTATTTTGGTGCATTCCGGGCCAGAAAAAATTGTGCATGCAATATTTTTTTTTTTAAATGTTTTGGAACTGAACGCAGTGGTTTGAATTAGCCTCACTTTTTACCATAGGAATGAATGGGAATGTGTTTTTGGACCAGACAAAAAAATTCTGGTCCGGACATGGGGTGGATGAGCCCTAAATGTATTTTAAATGCAATTATTGTAAGTACCTGAATTTACCTTTGCATCAGCCCCTTGCTGTGCCTGTACGGCAGAGCTCAGAGTGGAAGACTAGCAGCACAAGAAGCTAGGTAGTTCATGTGCTGACCAGAAAAACTCTGATAGAGGGAGAAAGCAAAGTGACTGAAAGATAAGCTCATCACTGTGCTGCTCCTCCTTTACTGCCCCGTACAGGGTGTGGGTATGTCAGTGACAGCATGGGCTCAGAGGAATTGGGTTGAATGCTACTGGCCATCATTCAACCTAGAAGACTGAATAACTTTTAAAAAAAAGTTACGGGACAACTCCAGATGGACGGTGTATATCAGCAGAAGCTGTGTTTTGGATTTAATTTTTTTTCCTTTCATTGTGTCTTATGATGTGCTATACATTTTTGGGATTTTCTTTGATTGGTGTTCTGTTTTAAAAATGCCACATGTAGACCAATAAACATTTATGATGAGACATTTAAAGACGTCATGCGTCATGTTTCATCTGACTATGGTAAATCCACAAAGCCAAAGCAAACTCCCTTGTTTTGAGATGTGAGGATATTTGTGTCATAACGAAAGTGTCTGTGTTGCCCATCACAAACAATAAAACCCCAGCTATTGTTGTTCTGATGTTTAAAGCATCTGCTTGCTTTGGGCAACAAGGATCCTATTCTCTTCAGCTACTCCAGGCACTGGGAGGGAAGGGTTAATTGATATATATCTTCCTTTTGGCTTACTGGGGAGGTACTGCTAGCCAAATAGCTAATGATTATAGTTAGATGACGTGTCCACCTTGGCAGGATTTTGGCTAAATTTGTCAGGACTGTGTAGGCTGTGGCTGTTTTGTGATGCTCCCAGTGATGTCAATGGGAGCTGACATGAATCCACTCTGTACCTTCAGCCAAGTTAAAAACAGTAAAAAAATCATCATTTATTTTAGGAAATTGGGGAACTGTGTTCTAATTTAAAACATTAGTATTAAAACCGGTCCATAGTTCCAGTTTAGAAATCTCAGAACTAAGTACTTTGAGGGGAATTTATCAAAACTGGAGCAGATAAAATCTGGAGCAGTTGCCCATGGCAACCAATCCGCTTTTCTCTTCAGTTTGTTTAGCAAAGCTCTGAAAATGAAAAAGAGAAGCTGATTGGTTGCCATGGGCAACTGCTCCAGATTCTGCCTGCTCCAGTTTTGATAAATTCCCCTCTTTGCGTATTGATTTACTAAGTAAGATTTGTTTGTATTTTTAACCTCTTCCTGGAGGCCATACCTATATATGTGGCAGCAAGAAGGTGGACCATATTGCACCCCACCAGCACTGTGGCCGTGCTGTCACCCAAGCACATAGTGATTTTGGGAGCTTGTAGGATGGGCGTCTGATCACGTGATCGCTGTGACAGCCATGATCAAATGATCGGGAGGCTCATGAAACACCCCCCTGTATCTCTTATTATGAACAGATAATGCACACATATGTCGTATCTCCATACACGTCAGCAGTAGGAGAATTTACTTTTGGGCTGTTGTTTGATGAGTCATGGGAATGGCAAGAAATTTACAGCTGACATTTTTTTTAAACTATTTTGGCCCAGTTTGCTTTTGATAATGAAACAAAATCAGGAGGTATCAGTTAACATTTACAACCAAATGAAAGCCCAATCTTAAAAAAAAACCTCAAGGTATAACTCGCCTGGATACACAATGTCAGGGATAGGCAACCTTGGTACTCCAGCTGTTCTCAAACGACAAATCCCATCATGCCTCTGGGAGTCATGTCTGTCAGAGTCTTGCAGTGCCTTATGGGATTTGTAGTTCCACAAGAGCTGGAGTGCCAAGGTTTTCTACTCCTGCACTAAGTAGTTTTAAAGATATGTACAGTTTTACTTCGGCCCCATTTACACGAGCAGCAGGGATCCGTGAACAGATCCCATGCTGAACAGAAGCGGAAGGCAGCATATGTCACTTTTGTGACGCACGTATCCGTTCAGTTCTTCCCCCCTTGTGATGGAGGAAAAAACACAGATTAACCGACCCATATTGGGTCTGTGTGGCAGGCAGATTTTTCAGGCATTTATCAATTCTGAAAAAACAAAACAAACGCATACCTTTTTGTGGTTTTTGTTTTTTTTTCTTTGGACTTTGATGGACTCGGAGGTAAATGGGCGCATGTCTGTTTGCATCCTTCTGCTCCTAGACTAACATTGAGCTTCCGATCAGATCCGCCCATCGGTTTTCAGGCTGTGCCTAAGGGTCTTAACACGTCAAAGTTGCAAAACTGGGTTCAGATGTTAAAGAACTCCAGACAATCTAAAAATTAACCCTTGCGAGGGACTACACCTGCATTGCAAGGGTTAACTGCTCGTTTTGGTTTAGGGGCTAAAATAAAGAAAATATATACTTGCCTGATCCTTGGTGCCGCTTGGCTGCTAGACCGATCTCAGCAGCCTCTTCTCCGCTGGGCTCCGGCAGTCTATGGACCCGTGATGTCATCATATCTAATGCATCTGCATTAGATGTAAGGACGCCAAGGGACATTCCAACACCAGAGTGGAAGGGGTAGAGAGGTGAGCGCTGACTGGCGCTAGACTGAGGATAAGGGTTCATTTATAAATTGCTTGGAGTTCTTTAAAGTTTTTTTTTACGGTCTGTCATTAAGGGCTTGTTCACACCAATTGCAGTGCGTTCCAGACCAGTAGCTGCTGGAACGCACCGCAATCGATCACAAAACTTCCCCCTTCATTCTGGGGCGTGGCGGTGCATTGAAGTCAATGGTACCGCAGCCACGCCCCCAAGGCGTGGACTGGAACGCAGGCAATGTTTTGCCGTGCATCCGATTGCACTGTGGGGGGCGTGCCTGCGGTGCCAATGCACCGCCATGCCCCCTCCTGCCCCAGAACGCGGGGGGGGGGGAGTTTTGTGAGCGATTGCGGTGCGTTCCAGCAGCTACCGCTCTGGTTTGAACAAGCCCCGAGGGGTTAAATAAATCCAAGCACACCAGCAAGGGTGCAATCTTGCTGCTGCTGAAACCTGGCTGGTCGATGCCTTTTATTATTTTTACACAGCCTTTAGTAAATTGCTGTAGCCTATGAAGAGTAAAATATTGTGCTCGGTCTTAGGCTCTGTGCTGTAATTGTGTACACGTTCCCGTTTAGAATTGATAACTGTGCATAGAATATTCACTGCTGGAAAGAAACAATTGCATTGTGATTGAAAGCACAATTCACCTTTTGTGTTGGTCACCGGGGAGGTTTTATGCTGCCACAGCGGGGAAAGTTAAGCGGCTACGGTGTTCAGTAATTCAAATGCTCGCATCAATACATGCCAACACGTTTGATCATTTTGTATTCCATATTGCTGCAAATCAATGAGCATCTCTGCGTTTCCGGTCTGATTTAAGCTCCACCTGTCTGATGCTGTGCGTGCTGAGCTGACAGCCAGGCTTGTGCAGAGTTAAGTGCACAGCTTGCTGTCCGCTGCTTCCCCTCCCACCTGCCTCCCCAGCGCTGTGCATTAGCCCATTCCTGCTTAGCAACAGTGAGATCATCACCGACTATTTCATTGATTTCTCGCTCTCCTCCTCCTGCTTTTCCCATTCTACCCTGGCCGTTCTCCCACAATGAGGTGTTGGTTTTAGTGCTCCCTAGGCCGGTGTCTTTCCAGGGCTTCCTAACGGTGCACTGCTCGTTCAAAAAAAAAGAAGCCGGACCGCAATGTATTTAAAGTGGGACTCCGGCCTGGGCGGCTGGATTAGCATGCCGGCTGTGACTGATGTCTTCAGATATTCCTGTATGGTTTGCTGGTCTTCTAGGGAGAAGACGAACGTGGAGCAAGAACTGAACGAGAATGAGGACGCGGTGAAGAAGAGGACCAGCGAGGTTCTGGTAAGGAAGTTAGAATCAAGTGTTGCTGGTATGTGACATCTGCTGCTGTTATGATAGGAATGCACACTGTAGGTACATTTACAAATACAGCTGGAACTATGTAAAGGTTCTGCCAATGTAGAGGAGATGTTTTGATAGAGGCTAGCGTGTTGAGGTGCCCGTTGATTTCCTTTTGTGCCCAGGTGACTCCAGTAAGATCTCTGGGATTGAATTTTAAGCTGCTTGTACATTGTCTACAGCAATTATGAGGAGGTCCTGTGCCTCCCTATTGGCATGTTAACTTATAATATCCTGTAGGGAATGTAGTAGGAAGAGTGAGACTCTAATCTGCACCAGAAATAGTCAAATTGTTTCTGTTCATTTATTATAGGTAGGTATATATGTATTTCTACTGACAGTGCTGACAATTTACACAATGCTTTACATACTGTACATTGACATCAGCCCCTGCCCTCATAGGAGCTTACATCCTAAGGTCCCTATCTCACATACATGCACACACATACTAGAGCCAATTAACCTACCAACATGTCTTTGGAGTGTGGGAGGACACCAGAGGAAATGCACACACAAGCACAGAGAGAACATGCATACAAACTACATGCATAGAGTTGCAACAAAAGATGTGAGACTGCCTCTGCCACAAAAAAAAGTAGCATTTTTTTTTCTCACTGGAGCCAAAGTTGGAACCGCTCTGCCTTGGCACCATGTCTGAGACTTCCTCCGCCTGTAGGAGAAAGAAGAGCGAGACCGCCTGGTGCAGCAGGAGAGGTAAGACTTCCATTGGTGCAACAGGAAGACTAATACTGCAAGGCAGTGGGAACAGAGCCATCAGCTTCTGCTGAAAGACCAGCACAAGAATCATTGAGAGGTAAAAAAAAACCCGGATGGGTGGTTCCGTACTACAGCATCTGCCAAAAAACAAGAAAATCAGATTTGTTTTGGCTGACTTCCTAAACTACATGTAAGCCCAATCACTACAATGTTGTTAAAATCATTTTTAAAAGTGTTTTCGAAAGTAGTTTTAATTTAATGTTAAATTTGCATTAAAATTGTACCTGATGATCCTGCCATTCAGATCCTTATGGAGGCACTTCCTGTTATAGGGTGACAACACTGTCCATATCTCCTAGTTTTTCTCCTGCCTTGTCATCCTGTCTCTTCATCTCCTAATGGAGGCTACAAGTGGCCCTGCTGACACATATTGTAAAGGCACGGCCCATCGATGTAACCATCGGGAAACCCACCCTGAGATTTGACTTGCATAATTTGCTCGAGCAAGTGAATGTAGACAGGACGTGGGTGCAGGAGATCAGCAGTGCTGATTCACCACGTGTGAAAAAGTTTTTTTTTTTAAATGGCAGTTTATTATACACAGTCCTTTAGCAAACTAGGGAGCCTCTTTTTCTTCTTTTTTTCTTTTTGTTTGTTCTTTTTTTTTTAGCAGAGAGTGTTTATTGCTCTTTGCAGGGCACCACAATGTTACTCCCCACTGTGGCCTGCATTTTACCCTTCGTTTATAAACTGCTGGCCGTTGTGTTGAACCTATATAGTCCCATAAAGTTCTTGCTGCAGTTAGAACTCTCTGATTTGAGGAGAAGCTGATCACCTGACTTTTAGGGCCCATTAATACTATTGCGCTGTGGTACCGCACATTAAACCCGTTGGCGCGATGCTGAATTCTGAATGTCACCCCAGCACATCTTGCTGTTGGAGGTGCTTTGCGGTGCACCGGCAGAAATAGTACAAGCATCTTTTTTTGGTACGCTCTGGATTTAGGCAACCCTCTCAAATGAATAGACTGCCTTAAGGGTGCATTCACGCTACATCCAGATCATCTCCAGACCAGACTAGATTGTTACCAGACCAGAAAATGCATCCTAATGTATCCCTATGCTATTTCTGGCCTCTGTTCATACCAGTGCAGTCCGTTCCAGACCAGAAAAATACTGCACGTCTCATTTTTTCTGGTCTGGAATGCACTGAAGCGCATTGAAAGCGCGTGGAACGCACTGGACCGCACCTGACAGCCCATTTTAAGCTAAAAAAATGCTCCATAATGTGGCAAATATGCTATGCACTGCGTTCCAGATCTGGTCTGGAAAATGGTGTGAACCCTGCCTAAGGGTGCCTTCACACCAAAACCGGAAGGAAATCGCAAGTCAACAGGGGGTCTGGTAACTTACAATAATTGTACATTCAGATTTCCTTCCAATCCGTTGCATTGCGATGTTTTTCAAGGGATGCCAACAGAAGAAGGGCACCAATAAATGAACGAATGAGGCCAGGTCACATTGAATCCGTTGCGTGACGTTGCGCTGAAAAAAAATAGTGCATGTTCTACTTTTTTTTTGCACAACGGAGCAGTGTGCCCCATTCACCCCCATTATTTTTTCAGTGCCCTTCCGTTAGCATCCCTTGAAAAACGTATCTCCGTGCAACGGATCTCAACCGATCTGGTGTGGATGGGCCCTAACACAACACACATTAAACGGGCCATCACAAGTCATGTGACCCAGCTCTCCTGACTTTTGCTTCATTCATTTGAATAGCACTCCTTTTTCCTCATTTCCGAAGCAAATGGAGCCCAAGGCACATTTGTAAAGTACATGTCTGTGCTTTATAAATGTGCTGTATGTGTTATTTATTTTAAAGCAGCGGTATGGAGAAAGTAGGGCCATACTGCCGCTGTATAAATAAAATCCAAAACGTCATTCGGTTAGGGTACACACCTGCTTTACTAAAAAGTGCATAGAGCAGCACTGTGCTAGAACCCACAGCGGCCCATTGGAAATCAAATTTTACTTGATAGCCAAAAGCTGCCCCATCATATGTGATTTGAACACAGCATGTCATGTTGTTGCTCTTTGCTGTATTTATATTACATATGCAATATTGGAGCTTGTAGTATCACAATGGTTGTCAATGCAAAGGTTACAAATGCCATTTACATCCTCAGCTAAGTAATGCTATATTATATTTTTCCTGTACTACTGTAATAGCTATTGCAACTCTGTGTCCTTTACTCCTGAATTTCCTACCCATTGCAAACTGATGGGTATTATTTATTACAAGTATTTATTTGGCGCTGACAATTTACGCAGCGCTTTACATAGTTGCACATTCACATCAGTCCCTGGAGCTTACAATCTAATCTCCCCCTATCTCACATGCATACATACAAGGGCCAATTTAGACTGGAGCCAATTAACCTTCCAGCACGTCTTTGGAGTGTGGGAGGAAACTGGAGTACCCGGAGGAAATTACGCAAGCACGGGGAGAACATGCAAACTCCTTGCAGATAGTGACCTGGCCGGGATTCGAACCGGGGATCTCCAGTGATGCAAGTGCTAACCACTACGCCACTTAATTCGCTCTTCATTGGTCTTGATTTAGAAGAGGCTTGATGACGTTCATTCTCCTTGTGTGCTCCATATGCCCGGACATAGATATTGGACAGGTTATAGTCTCTATGTTCATTGCTTATGACACTTCAGGACAATTCTGATGGTTAGACCTTGAAAAAGTTCAGATATAGGTAAAGGAATCCGTTAAGATTTTAGTTGAGTGACTAACTGGGTGCCGTAAGATAGGATTTATTATTGTTCAATGTAGAGGTGCAGCTTTGAACCAAGATCACAAACTGGCTCCCAGAATTGAAGGTTGGAGGTTTTTTTTAATTTAAAGCCAAAACTTTATTTTAGATTTTAAATACAGTAGGGGGAATAGCTAGATTCTGTATTTGTTATCTTTGAGGAATTTTACCTTCACTTCCTATTCTAGAACAGGAAGAAAGAGGAAATCTCTCTAAAGTAAATGGAAATCCCCAGTTACTTGTCACCCACACAGTCCCCCTTAGAAGATTTCTCCTGTTACTTTTATTTTTAATAACCCAGTAAATAATAAAAGTCGAAAAAACAGCTTTGGGTACAATACATACCTTTAAGGCATAGCTGGAGCCACAGTATTACATGCCTGCCACTAGAGAGCCTCAGTCTTCTGGGCTGAATGACACCCAGTGTGATGCAACATACACTCTCGCCTCAGGCTGTCCTGCAGTCCCACTGGATTCTCTGAGGTATAAGCAGATGGGGATGATTTAAAGGGAATATCTACTTGGCTAAAATATTGAAAACTAACCATAGGAACCCCGAGGTGCATGCATGTATCCTCACTTATATCCTCCTGTTATGCAGATTTTTATCTGCTAAATTCAGCCTCGGTCCCACCTCTGTCCATATCCTGTTCACTGCTTGTGTCATTGAGGCCAGTTGTAACACTGAATGGCCAATAGTGTACAGAAGTGGGGGAAGACACTAACTCCAGGATTACAGTGCCCCCAGCAGGGTCAGAACAGAAATTAAGGTATGTGGCTGCATTAATTGCTGTGGTCAGCTTTAGTATTTTTAGTAATTTCTGTTAAAGCATAGGTCAAGGCAAATTTAAAAAACAGTACATCTGAAGTAAATACACCCCCTCCCCCTTTTTCTTTATCTCTTTAAAACCCTGCAAGTGCCAAAACAATAAAAAAAAATTATCTGCCAGAAATGTACTCTGCTCTTAATTTCCTATTGACAACGTGCAGCGTTTTTGTGGACTTAGTGGTATCAGCCCTGCCCCCCAGTCTTTTGCTGTACTACACAACCACTCCTAATGTCTTCTTATCCACAACATTAGGACCAATTCACTTGTAGTCCAAGATAAAGACATGGAGGGATGAATAGTCTTTGTGATAACACAGCAAAGAGCGCTGGGCAGGTATTTTTTTTGCATTTATAAAATAGATAAACCAATATGCAAAATCAATGGTATATTTCACAGACCAAAAGGAGGCAAATTATAGAAGTTCATTATCTGTGTTTTACATTCACTTTAAACACATGTACACGTTCACCTAAAGTTACCCACTCGGAGTATCCAGAAGCATCAATTTTGGGTAGCAGCGGCCTTTCATTTTGCAGATATCCTATTCATTCGTGCAATTCCTTTTATCCTGTTTT